GTTCAAAGGCATCAATTCTTCGGCGCTCCGCCTTCTTTATGGTCCAGCTCTCGCAGCCATAACCAAACTTAGCCTGTTGTGCAAATAAATCTGCACCATCTTCCCCTAGATGGCAGTGGGCTTTACTTCATAATGGGGTGGGGGGGAGAGCTTGGCTGCATTTGGGACTCCTCATGCTCATTGTGCTAAGTAGCTCTGAATGTGTCTAAATCTGACGTGAGGCCAGTTCCAAGTAAGTACAACTAGAATCAATCTCTCTCTCTCTCTCTCTCACACACACACACACACACACACACTCTCTCACACTCTCACTCTCTTTCTTCCTCATACACATTCCAGGTCTCTGCTCCTCCTGCAAGCAACAGACCCATTGCCTTTTCCAAGCTCAGATGATTACCTGATTAAAAAGATCATACAGAAAGGGCCAACTTTCCAGAACCCATTTCTTATCCCTTAAAGCCAAATTACCAAGGATCAACTGACCACTCTAGATTAATCAGCAAACCCACTCACTTCCCACCAGTTCAACACAATCATACTGAGATGCCTCAAATTTCTGATGGCAAACTCATCATGATCCAGGTGACCCCAACTTGAAAAAGGAGCTTGCAGACAGAAGACTTCTGTTCCATTGTCTATTGAAATGCAGGTGAGCATCCCGCTTTCTGTTTTCTTATTTGGATAAGCACTGGAGGTGTTTTTCTGTTTCTTCCATCTTCCAGCAAAAGAGAGATTAGCCAGTTTGTAGAAAACTGCAAGCATGTTTCCCTGAAAGTCTGATGAAATAGCCTGGATGGCTAGATCCAATCCAGATTAGGATCAATTTAATGTGTCCATCAGAGAAAGGAGAGGAGAGGCCCAGATAGACACAAACTGCCTGACAGAATCTCTTTGGACAGACTGATTAGGCACTTAGTTTCCTGCAGTGATGTGGAAAAGATTAAAGCTGTAACACTTTACAGCATCTATCACAGGCTGGTTTCTCAAATTAGGTGCCTTCTGTAGGTCACAGCTCTAGAGAGGGTGCCCCTAGAGGCCCAAGGGATGGAGGGAAATATTTAGATTTTTAGAGTTAGATTTTTTTTTATCCCACCTTTATTATTTTTATAAATAACTCAAGGCGGCGAACATATCCATTTATTTATTTATTAAATGTATACGCCGCCCATCACCCCAGAAGGCAACTGTAATATCTAATAATATTAGTAATATTTAATACTCCTTCCTCCTCCTATTTTCCCCATAACAACAACCCTGTGAGGTGAGTTGGGCTGAGAGAGGGGGACTGGCCCAAAGTCAGCCAGCTGGCTTTCATGCCTAAGGCGGGACTAGAACTCACCCTTTCCTGCTTTCTAGCCTGGTGCCTTCACCACTAGACCAAACTGGCTCTAAATATAGTACAGGCCATTGCTTGTTTGTGGTTTGGTGAGGCAAACACCTCCCATGATTTGAAGCCAGGGGACTCTCCTCTCAGACCACTCCTGTCACAAATCAGATCTGTGCTTTCAGTGCTGGACTTCAGCATGTACTGTAACTGATGCTAAAGTAGTTTTAAATAGGAGGAAGGAGAATAAAAGAATGGGAGTCTTGCCTTGTGAAAATTTTCTTTGCTTGTGATATTTAGGCTGAAATCACACATGCATTTTTAAACTGCTTTAATTAGCACTCCTACACATCAATTAAGGTGTGTTGCCACCATTTACAAGTTCTGTTACCTCTGTTTTAGAAGGCCCTGGGAGGAGATGTTCCCTTGGCTGTCCTACACCAGATGCTGTCCTCAGATGCTTCATAACCTGCCCAACCTCACATGCTAGACCAGTGTTTCTCAGCCTTGACAATTTTAAGATGGTGGACTTCAACTCCCAGAATTCCCCAGCCAGCATGGGAGTTGAAGTCCATCCATCTTGCCAAGGTTGAGAAACACTGTGCTAGACCCTGATGCAACCCCTTGAGTATTTCTCAAATTGGTGTTAACTGCTGCTGTCTTTCCTGTCTATCTTTCTGTTGGCCACTTAAATAGACAAGGTCATGGGAAAGCACTGTCAATTTCACTGGATAAGAAAGAAGCAGCATGGTGGTAGAAGCCTGCATCAATGACAAAGTCTGACAATGTTCTTCAACCATGTTTGAGGAGTTTGGAGCATACTTTAGGCTGAATTGGAGGACTAATCCATTGAGGCTCAGCACTTGTCCACACTGACAGGCAGCTGTTCTCCAAAGTTTCAGACTAGAGCTTTTTCAGTTGTTCCTAGAGAAGCAGACTGAAGTTGGGACTTTTCCCAGGTGTTCTAGCATGGAGTTGTCCCAGGTTACAAATGCAAAAACAGAAACAACAACAATAGAACCTGAACAAGTAGAACAATAAAGAGCAAAATAAGACATATCAAAGAGAAAGAGAAATGTGGAGTCCTTAGAGTTCTCTGAGCTTGGTTGTTTTCTTGCAAACAACCAAGCTCAGAGAACCCCAAGAACTCCATAGTTCAACCCTGAGCTATATATTCTCTTCTATTAGAAAGAGAAATCTACTTATGGGGGACTCCATAAAACAAAAGTTATAGGGAGGTTGACATGGCATTGGAAACTGACCTTCTGTAACCATTATTGCAACATGTTCTCCCTTTCAAAAGTATCCAGAAATTTCAAATGTTGAAAGACATAGCAGCTAGGCTGCTAACAGGAGCAAGGTATGGAGATCCTATGATGCCACAGTGAAAGATCTGCACAACTTTATCAGTTGCTTCCCAAGCATTATTCAAGCCAATGGTATTAACCTTTAAACTCTAAATGATTTAATGGCCAACTATCTAAGGAATTGCCTCCCCTATTATGAACCTGACTGCCCATTTAGATATGCAGAGGTCCCTCTGATGGTATCCTCCCTGTCACAGGCTAATTTATCTGCAGAAGATAATGTAGAAAGGATCTTCTCCTGTGTCCTTCCCAAGCTATGGATTGCACCCTTTTCTTCAGCTCATAGGTGGTCCCTGCTCTCTTTTCTTTCAAAAGGAAGCCAAGAGGAATCTCTTCCACCCTGGTCTCCAAAGGAACATGATTTCATATATGTTTACATTTACTGTTTTTATATATTTTTAAACTCAGATATGTTTTTTATGTTATGGGTCTGGAAGGGTTGCTTCATCTGCAAGCCCTCTTGAGTGTTTAAGGAAAAGGTGTCATATAAACCTTCTAAGTACATGCATTGGTGAATACAGGACAGAGATATTTTCTTAGCTTATCATCAGAAGGAAATAAAGTTTGAAATACATTAAGTGGCATGTGTGAATCCAGTCTTTCAGATGAGCAACTAGTATCAGAGCAATGATTTTGTTTACTCTGCTGCTTCTGGCTGGAATTTTGATTGGCACCAGATTATTCAAAGTACTTTCCTCTCTTTCTGGCTGCACTTGGAACTCATCAACAGAGACTTTTTTAATAATGTCCATCACAAGGATGGTTGGTGGGTCAGTAAAAGAGAAAGCCTTTTTGTAATGGCCCTAGACTTATGGGGTGTGCATCTGGGAAGAGCTCATCAGCTTTGTTTCAGCTTTTCAAGAAAACTCTGAAGCCTATCATTCTTGTTGGCTTTTGAACTGTTGATTTTATTATATAATTATCTGATTAACTCTTTGGATTCTATCCTTAAATGCACCTTAAACATAATTTGGATTTGCCATTGTCTTCTTCCAGGAGATAGGTAGGTAGGTAGGCAAGTAGGTAGTGATAGATAGATAGATAGATAGATAGATAGATAGATAGATAGATAGATAGATAGATAGATAGATAGATTTCACTTTCCAGTCTATGGCTAAGGGAGAGTGACTAGCCCAAAGTCACCTAGTTGGCTTCCATGCCTAATGTGGGAATCTGGGTCTCCCCATTCCTACTCTAGCACTTTAACCATTACACCACACTGCCTGCAACCTGAAGTAGTAAAGTACAGCGAAAGCTTTACAGTGTTGCTTGATTTTCCTGCAGATATAAACTGGCCTTTCATCAGGGCATTTGAGCACTCTAACAGCACACACAATACAAACCACCACCACCATCATGACCCCTTGTGAAACCCTTTCATGAGTCACATCATTCCATACCTTTCTCCCAGAATGTCCAATTTAGCCAGACTGGCTGTTCCTTGCAGATGCTACCTCATGAATAACTGAGAAGGATACATGGACACAGGGCACTTGGGGAAGGTGTGGCAGAGGCTTTGCACGTCGCTTACAAGGAGAATCCTCATCAGTAGTGATGCTGCTGCATTTGAGAGGGCTTCAGAACGGCATCTTGGCTGGAGAGCCAACTTGTCAGCTAGAGCAGTGTTGTCCAAAGTTGGCCACTTTTAGATGAGTGGACTTCAACTCCCAGAATTCCCCCCCCCCCCAAGCTGGGGGGGGGGGGTTTTTGGGTTTTAGGTCCTACACCACAAAAAAACCAACCTCTTTTAAAAAAATGTGAGAGAG